ATGGTGGTACAAGTAAATTGGTGGTGGTGCGGCTGCTTGCTGCCGCGCCGCCGCCGCTGCCATATTCATTCCTTCGTCAGCCGAGCTTCTGTTCTACCACAAATTCTCTACAATTTACAAACGTTGCTGCCAGGAATTATTAATGGTTTGGATTGGACGAGATTTTTATAGCAATCCGGTAGGGTTTGTCTGGTCAATGGCTTACTAGCAAAAATTTATTTGTTTGCACCGTTAACTAATTTTTTAATTATCTTTTTATTTCATATGCATTATATTAAAAAAAAATATTACATCTTTTCCTCTATCTATGCCCTATTTTAACGGTGAGTTTTTTAGTATTTATATAAAACTTTAAATGCTACATCTTAAGCCCCATTTTAATGATGAGTTTTATGGATGTTTATATAAAACTTTTGGCCTATTTGGATTGTTAGTTTTTTGACAAGTTTTTTAATGACTAGATATTGAAAACTCAAAAATTTTCTTAAAATTTTTAAAATACCTACATCAAAATATCCAAAAACAAACGAAATTTTTTTTCCTTTTTTCCTTTCTTTTTCTTCCTTCTCCTATCTCAACCTATCACCATTCACTATCAACGCTAGCATTGGTGGAGAGAAAAAATGAGGAATGGATAGGGAGAGGAGAACGAAAGTAAGAAAGAAGGACCAAAAAAAAAAAATAGCCTAGTATTTTTCGAATATTTTGTATAGTTAACTGAAATATAATCAAAAACTTAATTTCAATATTTCTAAAACTTATAAAAATATAAAATAATTATAACATCATACTGACATCAATATATTTATTAGAAATATCCGATCAATCCAATTAGTTGACAACATTGATAAGTAGTGATAGCTACAGCAAGTGATAGCAAGGTGGAAGGAGAATATATGAAAGAAAATGGGAAAGGAAATTTTTTCAAAAAAGATCAATTTCTTCACAAAAAAATTTTTTACAACTTCTATAACATCAAGTTATAGAAAAATAAAATTTATACAAGCATCCAAAAATCTTACAATTCAAATGTGTAATGTAACTTAATGTTGTAGAAATTGTAGAAAAACTTGTGCGTAAGATTTTGAGAAAAATTTTCGTTTTTCTTTTCCTTTTCATTTTCTTTCCTTTTTTTTTTCTTTTCTTCTTGTTCCTCCATTCCTCCCACCCCATTGCTTGACGCTAACAGCCACTGTCACCTCACACTCCTTTTTTTCTTCTCTTATCCTCTCTTTCCTCTCATTCTCTTTTCCCCCTATTCTCTCGTACTCCCTTTTTTCCCTCTCTCTTTTTTGCCTCCTCATCCCTTCCTCTCTCCCCTAACCCCTTCCCTTCCCTCTCTCCCACCTCTTTTTCCCTCTCTCCCTAAGAGTTGTTATTTTTTATTACAAATGATGAAAAATTCTTGTCAAAAATTCTTGTCAAAAATTCTTGTCAATCATGTGAAATAATAGATCTCATAAATAAAGGAAGTACTAGGGTAGTAGTGCCTGCGCAAATAATGGATATATTTGGTGCCCGTGATTAAAGATAATTTTAAGATAACTTTTTGTTGGTGATTATGTTGTTATTTTGTGGAACCTTGAAAGTATTTAAGTTGGTAGGAAAGTAAGTGAATGAATATAAGAGTAGGATATCATATTAAACGATAATTTCATAGCATATGTTTCAATAATAGATTGTCTACAATGGCCATTTAAGTCTCCCTTTATTTATATTATTATTCAATTTGCATTTCACATATTACAGGTGATTTCATTAATTATATATCTATTATTGGGGTTAAAATGTTAATCAACCCATTGATCAATAAAAATTATAGCATCTATAAAAAAGTCATTTAAGTGTCCATTTCTTTAGATTATTATTCAATTTACATTTCATGGATTACAAATTTCATTAGTTATATGTTTGTTTTTGGGGTTAAAATTCAAAGCCACATTCATTCTTGTATGGTGCGAGGTTTTGTTTCGCATCTTTTTGATTTTTTTTTCATTTTTTAGTTTTTTGTAACAATTTTAGTTTTGTTTATCTGCATAAGCAAGCACTCATTGAAATTGTTTGCTTTGAGGAGTTTTTACAAATTCATCATTGCTTAAAGAAAGCGAACCATTTATATTATCTATACTTAATTAAAAGGTATTTGTGAAACACCATCAATATGAACGATTTAGAACGTATTGATTCTATTAATTCATCAGTGGTTAAACAATTCAAACTCAAATCATAAGTATGTTATGTTTCCTACCAATTCACAACGCTTCACTATCAAATTACTATCAAAATGAATTCCACATATGAATTATTTACTACATGCAATAGAAAACACACCATAACTGAACTAAAATTAAGGTGTTTTTTGACTTATGTTATTCTAGATACCCCCTGGACTTTTTTTTCTTATGATTGTTTCAAACCTATTACATCATAACCATACCATTCAAATTATACAGATCAACCAAATTTGTGAAAAAATCATAAAATTATAGTTAAATTACGCAATCAAATTTTCAAATTTTGTGATCGAAACAATTACCTGACACTACACACCACCAAAATCATCCACATAAAACAATAAAATTAAGGAACAAAACTCACATCAAACTGAACCACCAAGAATAGCTACGCTTGAAAATCATTTTGGAATGCAGAGTATAAAGGCAGCAAAAATAGCCCAATCCCAAAAGTCGAAAGGAAAAAAAAATCGAAGAATTTGAAGGAGAAGGCATTCGAACAACCATGACTGATGCTGAGGCATTACATCATTAACATACCTACATTTTCTTTAGTTTAATTGAGATGTAAATGGCAAATACAAATGAATATGTTTGCAGGCACTTGAATATTCTCAAGCGGTAAGATTACAACAATATGTTTTCATTTCAATTGCACAATAAATACCACACTTCAAGTAATGTAACACTATTTAAATAATTATACGAATACATAAGCTTGTATGACTTGTACCCGATGCAAAAACGATTATAAAAATATTTTCACATTCCAAAAATAAATGTTTTAAATGTACAACATGAGTAGATTTCCATAAACATACCAAAACACATGCTACCATCACTTGTACTCAAAACTAAAAATAAACTCCACATCATTTCACATTGCAAAAATACCCCTATCTATGCGGTTGAAATTCAAATCCCCTCTTTAACCACAACTCATTCTTATATAGTATAAAAAAACAATTCAAAAAAGAAAAAACATATAGTCATTATCAATACCCTCTTTTGTATTTCGTGTTTATTACTTCAATCTTCCTTAAAGTTTCATATCTAGACAATGGTCCTATTTACTTTTCTTATTTTGTTCTATGTTTATGAATTAATTTTTTTATTGGGGTAAAAATTCCTTAGTTGTGCTATAACTAAGGAATTATAGCACTTTATTTTTTTCTGTGCTTTTATGAAAATAAAAAAAGAGATTGAGTGCCACTAGAGTATTTTTTTTCTGTGCTTTGGATAGAGTATTATTTGAAATATTATTTGAAATAATTACTGTAGCACTTTTTTTTGTGATGGGATGTATGTGACATAAAAAAGTAATTGAAAATATAAAAAGGTGAATTGAAAAATGTGTTTATGATGCAAGCGAAATATTATTTGAGATATTTGTGCTATCCAAACACTCCCATTGTTTTTTCAAAATCAAATATCAAGCAATACGCATCAACCTAGTTCGATTTTCTTTAGTTTAGTACAGTAATGTCTTGGCATCAACCAAATAAGAACCTAATATTAATTCATTTAGGTATTATATATGCACGAGATAAATAAGTGCCAATGCGACTAAAATACAAAATTTGCCTTCGAGCGTATATAAAGGGACTGGTCAACGGTAACAGATTTAAATTTGTCATAACAAAATTTATGTTAGGTCTTGCAATTATTTGTCACATGCTTCTTCAAAATTTATTTTGAATTGAGAATACGTTTCCAGAAAGAGGCTCATAAATGTTTGGTTTGATGATCTTTGGAGTGTCTTTTGTTTTTTTTCCTTGTCTTTTCCAAAAACATCTTTTAATGATTTAAGACCAAATTCTGAAGAAAGATGTTAAACAAACAAGGAAAAGAAAAGAACCATGCAATAATACATACGAAGGCCTGGGAAAGTTTATGGCGACTTTTAATCTACCGTTTTTACCCTTACAATGGACAACAAAATAGTCCAATCTTATTCAAAAAATGTATCCCTTTTTTTCAGTTTTAAAAAATTCAAATTATGTTGGAATCTATCCATAACTGTAGGTAATTAACTAATCACGCGGTATGTTTCAATTCTCATCGGATTCCCTAACAAATCACTTTTGACAGTGTACCGTTGAAGAAAAAATCGCAAAACCAAATTATTTGTAAAAGTTATGATAATAAATACATATATTTTTATTAATAAAATGTGCACTAATCAATACTTGTTGCTGTAAACAAAGCAACTGATAGAAAAATCACCTTGTTTGGATTGCGATTTTTCGCAGAAGATCTTTTACATTTTTGGTGAATACATTTTTCAATCATCTTATTATCTTACCTACATTAAATCATTATAGTACATTTTTCTATAAAAATTCCTAAAAATTGATTGACCAATTCAGTAAAAGTAAGATTGACTGATAAACCAAAAAATTGGTAAAAAGTAGGAAGAAGGAAGTAAATAGGCCATAAGGGGAAAGAAAAGGAAAAACAAAAAGAGGAAAAAGAGAAGTGCCAAAGAGGGAAAAAAAAAAAAAGAGGAAAAAGAGAATGGGGAGGAGTGGCAGCAATGTAGTAATTTTCTGATTCAGAATAAATAAATAAGGTAAAAGGAAAAAAAAAAGAAGAAAAGGAAAGGAAAAATTGGAAAAGGAAACCCTAAAGCGGATTTTCTTGTTTTTTGGGGTGGTGGGGGGGGGGGGTTTGGGTGTGTGGGTGTTGGGGAGCGGGTGTGCGGGATTGGGTGGCGGGCTTTGGAATGGGGGCACATAAGCCCGAGTAGAGTCCGCATCGCAAAAAATGAAGAGCGGTGCTATTGGTATTGCTAAGCAGCAGCAGTCGTCCCCCTTCTCAGTGGGTTCCCTGGTCGAAGTCACCAGCGACGAAGAGGGCTTCCAGGGTGCCTGGTATCTCGCCACTCTCCTCCGACCGCCTTCTTCTTCCTCTTCCCCTACTAGATCTGCTTCTTCTTCTTCCTCCTCTACTTCCTCTGCCAAGAAGCGCAAATCCAAATTCCACCCCAATAGTAAGGCCTACGTACAGTACCACACCCTCGTCGCCGAGGAGGGCTCCAACGTCCCTCTCCGCGAGTCCGTCAATGCCGAATTCCTCCGTCCTTTGCCTCCTCCTGACCCTCCTTCTTCTGAACCCTATTTCGACCTAGGCGACGTCGTCGATGCTTACTACAGGGACGGCTGGTGGACTGGTGTCGTCACCGCTCTTCTTCTTCACCACCAAGACGCCGACCGCCACTACCACCACAAGCAGGCCCAGTCCTCCCCTCTTCTGAGGTTCGTCGTCACCTTTCACAATCCACCCGACGAACTTCACTTTGCTCCTTCCCAATTGAGATTTCACCGCCGATGGGTCAATTGCACCTGGGTCCGACCCGCCAAGCAGGTATATCTTTCTTTGAATTTTTTTTCTACAAATCTTCTCTCCTCATTTCGTCTACTTTCTAGGGTTTTAGTAGCCCCCTTTCCCTCGTCTGCCCCCCCTCTCTGTCTCTTCCCCTTCAAATTGACAAAAGCTTTTGGAGTTTCTGCATCCGCCTTAGCCAACTACTCTGTTCAATTATGTGTCTAATAAAGGTTTTTTTTTACCTTGTTTCTGTTGTTAAATAAACAAATTCTTCCTGGAGTCCTTGGAGGTGGTGTTGGTGTAAGAATCGTAGAATCTTATTCGCTTCCAGATTCTCATGGAAGCGAAGCAGCATGAACACGCAATTAATACAACTATTTTCGGTTACTGATTGAGATAGCCTTTCCTATCTTGATTCAACCTGTAGTTAATCCGTAGTATTTCTTTTTGTGAAATTACCTGCAGCTTATACCTCACCCCTAGTATACCTAAGCTCCTAGTCTGGCAAATTGAAGATTAGTCTGCAGTCTTGCTTCTGTCTCGTAGTGTTTTTCTTTCAATTTTTTTTTTTAAATTCTGCCCCATGTTTCCCCGATTCTTATTTTCCTCGCTTCTTCTTGAATTCCCGAAAGAGAGCAGCAGGACTGATGTTTAGTGTGGGAAAAAGGGTTGAAGTGTCCTTTGACCGGGAAGATTGGCGGGATACTTGGTTCCCAGCTACCATCCTCGAAGACATTGGAAATGACTCTTTTTTGGTGGAGTACCACTGTGAAGATGCAGCTCCTCTGAGAGCAACGGTTAACTTCCTCCACATCCGACCTTGTCCTCCACATCTTAAGGACAAAAATTTTGTTTTGTTGGAGAAGGTGGACGCCTACTACCATTCTGGCTGGTGGCCTGGTGTAATTACCAAAGCACTTGCTGATTGTAGGTACAACGTCTTTTTTAAGCACACAAAGAGGGACGGGGAATTCAACCACACTGATTTGAGGCCTCACATGGAATGGAAAGATGGAAAATGGTTCACTTCTTCTCAGGTTCGAAATCTTCTCTTGCATGATTCAGAATATGGTTTCTGTGTGGTTAAAGGTGACATGCTATTTGCACTGCTGTCCTTTCTGCGTATTACTCTTGAAGTTCACTGTACTTGTGGTTTATGGCGTGTTTCTTTGATACTCAGTCACCTGCAGTAGTCCCAATCGATCTTGTCTGATTCAATGATTAAAAAGCTAAGAAGGTTTTATCCTTGATATCTATTTTGTGCATGTCATACTCAGTAAGGAAGCTTCCTGTAGGTGAAAAGATGATTTGGATTATGAATTGCAATTTTTCTTTCTACATGTGGGACAGTTATTTTACATGGGCAATTAACAAGGAAGGAGAATTTTGGTGCAAGTTAGTTTATGTCACTTTTTGCTTCTTCTTGTGGCCATGCGTGCTGTAACTGTGGATTTGAAAAGATGATTTGAAGGAGGCTTCGGATTATGAATTGCAATTTTTCTTTCTACATGTGGGACAGTTATTTTACATGGGCAATTAACAAGGAAGGAGAATTTTGGTGCAAGTTAGTTTATGTCACTTTTGCTTTCTTGTGGCCATGCGTGCTGTAACTGTGTAACATAATATGAAATTTAAGTTTTGTATCTTATTTTCTTTCCAGGTAAGTTAGGTTGCTATTTTTACAGTAGTAATTAGGGATAAAAAAAAGAGTACAATTTGTATGAAACTAATCGTTTTATGAAGCATATGATTCACTGTGTAAATTTTTTCTCATCTTCATTTCTGTTAGCTATTTTTATTTTAAGTCCTCTATAATGCCCTGGCATTTAGTAACCATTTTCCATCACTGCTGGGAATGAGCAACATTCTCGTTCTTTTTCCCCTCTGTTTTTGGCAACAGGCTACCTTTATTTCAGGTTTTTTCTCTTGGTGCATAAGCTTTGATTTCTAGCTTTTGCAGATGAGCTTTATTAGTTTGGCTTTAAAAAGGCAATAAATATGAATGCGGGACTCTTCTGACATCTAGAAGCTGGTTACGGTTTTCCATCTTTAGGAGCTAAACTTTCTTACTTGTTGCATTTAAACTAAGAATTATGTGCAACTCCTACCCTGTTCACACCAGAATGTCTTGAGAATAATGCCTATCACTACTAGTCTCTTTTATGCTAATAGAAAAGAAAGTGGGCCCTATTAACTTGGATCTTTTAGCCTTTCTCTCTTTTATGCTAATAGGAAAGAAACTAGATAATTACTTGCGTAGCTTATCCAAAATGAACACAAAAAGGTACTTTCTTATGAAACTGTGATATTAGACTAAGAAAGGTGCTTGTTTTTGTTCTATGTTTGTATTTGGTTTTAGTTTGAGTGAGTGCTTTTTCATTTTCTTTCAGGACATTTTGCATAAATTAGATTATGAGAAGCCTGAAGGTCATGTGTACAATAATGTTGATAGCACAGAGGTGAGAGTTCCACTTGGAAACTCTGGCTTTAGGGAGAGCAACTCTGAAGAGAAAGCCGCTTCTTCTCTTAACTAGGGGAGAATCAGGTTGAGCTACCAACTCCTTGCAGTGAGGAAGCTCTAGAGTTTACTCTCTGCCGGAGGAAAAAACACAGGAGACACCAGTTTGTGGTGGTGAAGAGATTTTAAAAGAAGAAATGCCTGCAGGATGCCATCTTTAACTGCAAGTCAGCCGTGTACAGAGGCAACAACAGGAACAACAGGTAAAGCAAAGTCTTTTGATTTGGCCAGCCCATCCTCTGAATCTATTGGCAACAATCTTGCAAAACAACCTTCGGGTGGAGACCAGTCATCAGAGAATCACACCTGGGGCAAGAGAGTTGTGAGTTACATTTCATTTTGCTGATTCATTGTTTATTTTTTGACTTCATGATACTTTAAATAGCAATAAGAAGGATGATAATTAATTTTTATGCCACTGGGTAGGATTGATGCCATCATTTGCCTATGAATCAGCTAACAACAGTTAAAGATTCATTGAGGATTGTTGTCAGTTAACAGCATTGATTGCTTGTGGATCACTTCAATATTTAATTTTCGTCGTTTTAAATGGAGAATAGCACGGGAGGTGTGATATACAAAGCTTATGACCTAATTTAAGATGTAAACGTCTCTTTTCTGCTAATTGCTGGATGGGCCAAAAAGTTTTAATCTCCTATTGTGCAGATATTCCGTCTAGAACTAGGTGTAGTGAATGATTTTCTGGCTATCTACTGAATTTGGTATGTAATGTCAGTTCTTGGAAATGCAGCGGAAACATGCACAGAACTTCATTGTCGTTAAGGAAGTATAATCTGTCGGCACTATTTTGCCTTTTAGTTTGTTATAGAATGCTCAGAAGAAAAAGAATCATGATTTGCATGCGATGTGTGGTGAATGCTATTTTTCATGAGACAAGTTGGAGGGATAGGTCCATTATATTAAGCAGCAAGCTGATGATGTAATCTGGAAAATTGATGAATTGTTTAATGCATTTTTTTAAATATTTTAATTCATTCGTTGCGCCTCGAGTATTTGTAACCAAGACTTTTGTGAACTTGTGCAGAAGAGGAAACGAATAAAGACTTCTGAAGAGGACGACAATCGTACATCAGGTTCTGGGAGAACTAGCAGCAGTTCTAGGAAAGTGCAAGTAAAAAGCCCAACAACTTCAAGTGGAAGTATGAAATTTGATTTCCAATTCCTCTTTATCTGTTGTATCGCATTTTTTTTTCATGTTCATTCAAGTGCGATTCCGAGTTTTAAGCAGGCAGGGAGGGTGATGCAGGAGTAGATGCTGCTGAAGGTGTTCAGGAAGAGTGCGTGACAACAGAAACCAACCTTCCTGTTGTCCTAGGATTGGAATGTGACAAAGGCAGCAACTCAAGTACCAGAAAAGCTTGTCTATCTGGTGGTGAGGAATTGTCAAAGCTTCCAGACAATCATGCTGGATTGAATGATAATGGACTCTCAAGTATAAAAGTGAGTTTTGTGATGATAAATAGCTCTTGATGCATTGGTAGTTTTGGTTGGCAGGGCAATCTGTTCTCAAGTTTTTCATTTATTGTGGTCTGAAATCTCATAGCTTTACAATCTCTAGCAGTGATGATTGTATACTGCTAAACTAAAAGAAAATTCTATTTAACAGAGGACTGGATTTGGTTGTAAATGGTGAAACAATGAATGTAATTGAGTTGAAATTCTATGCTAAGATGATTATGTTATGTTATAAGATTAAGATGGTTTGATCACAGTTAAAAAGAAAAGCACTACATTGACCGCTAAAGAATTTGCCAAACACAACTATGGGATGAGATAAGGGATCAGACTTTTGCCACATTGAGTTGTTGGTGTTTTCCACCTAAAGGTGTGACCTAGTAGTCACCTCGGTGACGGTTGTCAAGGGTCTGTTAACAGATTGTTTCTTAGCAGTATTGATATCTGCTGTAAGTGTGTCAGACAGCCATACTTTGCAAGTTGGGAAAGGTGTGGTGTGAGATACTTATGCTTTTGTAGACCCAAGCTTAAAATAGAATTGGAATCACTAATCAATTTTTATTGGTCTAAGATTAAGCTTGTGCTTGCTTGAGGAACCAACACCAGTTATGAATCTAACTATATCAAGGCTACTTTTTGAAAAAAAAAAAAAAAAAACTCAATATGTAAAGCAGTGTTATTAATCTTGTTTCATACTTCTAATATGTATACCTATGTCCCTTCTAGCATCAGCTACACTAACTAGTCTCACTGTCGGGTCCTATATTGAGTTATAGCTCTGTCCTCCTTTAAATATATATTATTTCATCTTTATTCAGTATTTTTCTTTTGTTTTTGAACTCCCTGTGGAACTGTTTTTTTGGTGTTGTTTGAGTAGGACAGCATCCAGTTAGACTCCGAAGAAAAGATTCCAAAGAGACGGAGGGGACGGCCTCGGAAAGTTGCCACCAACAGTTCTATTACTTTAGCTTCAGGTAGAATCTTACATTCTCAAGCCACAATGACTGTTGTCTATGGGAAGTTGCTGAATGCTCTTGTTTCACTGTTTCCAGAGGAGCCACGAAAAGAAGTCATTATTCATGAATTGCTTGTGAAAGACTGTTTGATAAGTGAAAATGATTCTCTTCAAGATGTTGAAGTAAAGTCAGCAATGATGGATTCTTCAGTTCCTGGCCAGGAATGTGTAATCAATGGCAGTGGTAAGCACATCATTCGGAACCAGGAAAAGCAGAAAAATAAAACAGGCAGTACTGCAATATTGTCAGCATTGAGAAAGCTGAGTGAGGAAGTTGTTGAAGCTACAACCAAGCAGCAAGAAAGGCATTCCTCAAAGAGAGGTAGAAGACGGACAGTTAATTTAAACAGTGTCTCTCAATTTCAAGGTAAGCAAAGCCTCATTCTGAAGAGTTTTTTTTTTTCCCCTCTAATGTCAGAATTTTCCTAGTTGTAATATGCATATTGCCGATGCCACACAAATTCTTGTTAGGATCATTTTGAGTGTAGATGGATATTTCATCAATTGTGAGATAAGTGCATGAAGTTCTGGATTTTTTTTCATCTCTTTTTAGCTCTGTGTGTGGAAAATGTAGATTCTCCAAATTCAAGTGGGAGCAAAGTAACTGAATCAAGTTGCATGACAAAAGAACTAGAAAAGTCGTTGAAGAATTGCCTGCAAACACATTTGAGGATCAACCTCTTTCGAAGTGGTTCCAAATGAATTCACCGACCACTAATGATGCCTCAAGTAAGCTGGAGATTTGTCCTTTTTTTTTTCTGCTGTTTCATGATGGTATATTTTTTGCCCCCTCCCCCCCTGTTTTCATTTTTCCTACTTTTCTTTTTCTGCCTTTTAGGGCTTTCGCCAACAAGAAGTGCGTTGAGCAATGTGCTGTGGCCAGTAATGGACAGTTAGCAATTGTCAATGAAAATCATGCAGTTGACAAACAGGAAATTGTTACGTGAGGTTCAGAACTTGCCTTTTGTGAAGAACACCTTGCTCTGGTCAACACTTGAATCTATGCAAGTTTTCCAGAAGTTGCCACAAAAGCCACATTTTCAGCCTTTAGAACAGTGTAAAGAAAGTTCTCGAGAAGGATTAGCCATAGGTTTTATGGTTACCTTTTCTAGTGTGGTGGAGAGAACCTCGAGGCTGAAGTTTGATGATCCCAAAAGCACCATCGATGACATTGGAAACGCTTGTGGAACTAGAAAGCCATGGATTCGATGTTGGGGTTGTACGAGATCGTGTAACCCACTTGATGACAATGAAAGAGAGCAGGAAAAGCTTCAAGATCAGGTAGAGCAACTGCATGGTGAAATTGAAAAGCACAACCTTGAGAAGTCTAAATTTGATGAAGAGGAGGAAGAGATAAACAACCAGATGAAGAATTTGCAGGAAAAGCTGTCACAAGTTGCGTCAATGAAGGCGACAAAGGATCGTGAAATTACTTCGCTGCAGTCTAAACTGGAAGGAATTAGGAAAGGCATCACAAATGTGCAGAGTGATTTTCAAGGCTTAGCTACTTTAGTTTGAGTGGCGTTAGGTTATTGATGTTCCAGGTGGGAATGTGATTTAAGTTTTTACCCCGGATTTCAGTAGTTTTTTTTTTGTTCACTCATTTGTAAGCTTTTGCTAGTATTGTAGCTGTTAATGGCGTAGACGTATCTTGTACATGTGTTGGGGCCTTGTGTCTCGATTGTTGGACATAGCTTATATTCTAGTATGAATTAATATCGTGGCTTGGAGTTGGAGATGGAGCTGAAACAGTTTAAAAGAGACACTGATGATCTGAACATACCAAAGGGGCTAGCTAAGCTCGGAGCTAGTTAATCGATAAGGGGAGCGCTTTTTGTTGTGGAGGGAGAGACGGTCGGTCGTGCAGTTTTTTTTGAAAGGGAAGAGAAGGTAGAGATGTTTTGTTGCGAAAGGCAGAAGTGGTGGAATGTCAACTGAAGTTGAGGCCTCTTCCGGTGAGATGAAAGAAAAAAAGGCGAGTAAATGCAAGCTGCGAGTGAGAATCTTTTTCCGAACAGGCGGTTGTGAATGAAAGACAGCAACCTAAAAAGTTTCTGTGTTTATATTATTTTGTCTGGTTCTTCCAGAATCTTGCTTTCGTTGTTACGCCTGCAATGGGGGTTGGGAGATTGAAACTGAGATAGTTACAGGTTGGCATCATCATGCTCAACATGGATATAGAACTATATATTCTCTTTTTCCTCCTACCACGAATTTTGCGCAAAAGAATAGGTTATTCCTACTCATCGTCCTTGTTAAAATTCCAGGTGGTTGCCTGGCACAGCTTAGTTGAATAAAAATGGAGATGAGCTGTGGGATATCCTTTATATATATATATAGCAGTAGTAGTACAAGGAATAAAGAGAGAAGGTGGTGCGTGCGCTGCTGCGGAGGATCATTAATTGGTGCCGTGCCGTGGTAGCATGTGACTGAGCCCTTTAAAAGAGGGACCTGCAGTGGATGCGGATCCGGGCAGTTGTTGTCAGTAATACTAATCACAATAATGTAATATTACATTTTAAATAAGGTGTAATTTTTATGAAAAGTACTTGTAAAATTTATTATTAAAAAAATCATAATTTCATTCCAAAGTGCCCTCTGTCCTCCTACTTTTTTTTTTTTCAAAATTAAAAGTATATTAAGAAAATCTTGAAACCAATAGACAAATTATTTAACTGTGCAATTTTAGTGGGATAAAAAATAATATATAATAGTAGGTGCTTTAAGGTATACATAATTTATTTTTAAGAGTATATTCGGCCAAAAAATATTATTATTAACTACAAGGTGTTTAGTTTGAATCACGATGAGAAGTTATGTGGATATTTTGAAAATACATGCAGTACAGAACGGCTTGTCGACGTCGACAAAATCACGAGGGAGTTTTGTTTGTGCATTTAACCCTTTGTTTCCTATTTTAGGTTGATCATGCAATTGCTTTTTGTCAACTCTAGGTATTATTTAGTATTGCGGTTGAAATTTCTTTTTTTTTATTGTTTATGAAATGTTGATATCCTAATAAATTGTTTTTAGTATTTGCTCATCTTAATTTTTGTTTATATTATCTATTCCATGTTTGGTTTTCCTTCTATGTTTTTTTTTTTTTATTGTGTTGTACTTGTAGATATTGAAAATAGCACGCTATGTTTGGCACTCAAATCTTTTGCCACCTCCATTGAATACTTATAAACTACCACAACGGAGTTTAGCATTCTTTTAGAACTTAATAATTTTAAAAGCATTCTTCTAATAAATAATAATATGTTTTTTTTTTTTGTTTTGTTTTGACGCCAATGCTAATAAAAAAAAAATTACAATAAATTTTCTCAATTCACAGGTTATCGCTTCTCAGCTCAGCTCCGCAGTACCATACCCAGGACGGTTAGCACTTAGCAGTGGGTGGGCAGAGAGAAGTGAACAAGAGAACAGCGGTGGGGCCGTCGGTGGCGTTTTATTTTTGGCTCCATCCGCTCTGCTTTCTATCTCTCTGTCATAGCCTCATAGTGGGAAAGGAAAGTAAATTGAGGGAGAGGGAAGTGGTAGTAGTGTAGACTGTAGTAGTAGTAGTCGTTAGAAACTAGTAGCGTGTCCTCAGAAAAAGGGCAGGCATGGAGGCGGCGGCAGCAGGAGGAGGAGGAGGAGTTGACAATGTTTCCTTCAAGAAAGGAGCACAAGTGGAAGTGAGCTTTGAGGAGGAGGGGTTTAGAGGGTCTTGGTACACCGCCACCGTCCTCCGCCCCGTTTCCAAGAAGACCAACAAGATCTACTTACAGTTCCACACTCTGGTGGCCAACGACGAACCCGGGTCCAGCCCCCTTCAAGAGCACGTTGACCTTATCCTCGTCCGCCCCGTCCCTCCCGCGAGCCCCGCCGCTCCTTCCAAGTCAGCGACGAAGTCGACGCCTTCCACAACGACGGCTGGTGGAAGGTATCGTCATCCATGTCTTCCCCCACCTACAACGCCAACAGCTCCTCCTCCCATAACCAGGTATTCCGTCTTCTTCCGAAGTTCCCGCGAGCAGCTTGATTTTCCCGAGACCGATCTCCGCTTGCATCGGGAATGGGTCCACGGCAAATGGGTCCCTGCTCTGGAACCCACCAAGTAGTAATTGATTCTGGATTCACTCTTTTTTTTTTTGTTCTATTTTTTCACTTACTGCCTTCTTAGCTCCTCCTCTCGCACTAGCTCTAGCTGATAGATGGACGGCGGTGCGACTCTGTGAATCTCTTTGCTTCTCGTCTTTCCTCTGCAACAGCCAAAGCCAGCCCTATACTGGAATTTAACTGCTGTATTATAGTACCTAGGTCAATCGAACCACTGTTTTTAGGTGCCCGTGTAAAATTGGACTATTACTTTTCTACTAGTACTATCTATTCACCGCTTGAGTGTGGACTAGCAGCAAGTCAAAAAAAAAAACTCTACCAAGAAGCTTCTGCAGCAGCTACCTAAGGTGTTCTCTCGCGTACCTGCTTTTCAAGCGTGACACTTGCTAGTTTTTCTTTTATTCTGCTCTTCTGGACCCTCCTATCTTGTCTTCACTAGTTATCATATTGGTTTGTTATATATTTCAGAAAATAGAACACGTACGTTGTTGCTGCGCATTTCTGGTGTAAGTTGAGTTACAAGTACGGTGTTTGTTTGATTTCACCACCTGTCTGTCATCTTTGACCGATCTCTCTCTGGTTTTGTTTTGTTGGCAATAATATGGAGAAGTGGTCTGAAGGAAGGTTGTTGATAAGCTGTCGTAATTTTGAAGCTTTTCTCTTCTGAAACTCTTTAGATGTTCTGGCATTGGTACTGTTCGTCTTGATGGTGTACATCATCGACCTTTTTGATTTTTTACTCCCAGAGCATAGGGACTCTTAAGGCCAAGCTCCCAGAGTGCATTGGCCATGCCCCTGATCATTAGCAGCAAAGTAAGAATTGAAATTGCACGTCCCATCAGGATTTGTCGTGCAGCAGAACGTTAGTTGCTTGGCGATGAAACACGGGACTCCTCGAGTTAGTGAGTGGTAGTAGGGATCTGTGTGAGTTCCCTTTGCTCTGATGGCTAAAGCATCAGACTGCCTTGAGAAAAACTGGTCGGGGCATTGTTCTAGTAGGCATGTTTGGGTATTGACGAGAACTTCAGTTAATTTGTTTTTGCAGAATGTAGGGGTTGAATCGCCGTAGCCATAGGAACTGATATGATGAGTGGGTTAGCAATTTGGTGGGCAGTGGATCAACTCTCATGGAGGCGCTTTTTATTATTGTTTGAGGAATGAGGAATGTGTATGTATATACAAAGTATGGGTTATGGGAGTCCCGGAGCGGAACCGGAGAAGTATGGGTTCTGGTCAAGAAAAATTTGGATCCAAAGGTATAATAATAGTACAATACAAATACAATTCAATGATGCAACGTAGTCTTAAGTCTTAACAACCTTCATGACAATAATTAATGTTCATTTTTATTGAATTGCGACACGCAAACATCCTGATGCGCGTTGCAGGTATTACAGATATGATGTTCATTTATTGTTGGAGAGAGAATTGAACGTTATTTATTGGTGTGGCTGACAAGCTTAGATACAAAGAAAAGAAGAAGTGGGATGTAGCCGACAGATTGATTGATATACGGATGCCCAGAGACTCTTTCCTGTTCTAAAAAAAAAAAAATTCTATAGTAGTAATCCTTACGCTTATGAGTTACGACAGAGGTGAGGTGACATCGAACTGAAAAAAAGGAGGAGGACGATCGAGATTGGAATAAATAATATGCACGATTCGTGATTCATAGGATACGAAAACAAATTCAATGACTTGGTAACCTCTTCTGCTTCTTTTTTTGAGAAAATCTCAGGTTGTGTTTGGATTGTATTTTTTGTCATTTTTTATGGAAAAATTACTGTAACGATTTGATATATGTGAGGAAAAAATGTGATAGGGAAATGTGATCACGGAAAACGATAATATTTTTCGACGGAAACAAGCAATCCAAACAAGGCCGGGCATTGCAACGTAGTCTTAACTACCTTCGTGACAATATAGTGAACGTAGTCTTAACTACCTTCGTGACAATATAGTGAAGTTGTGGAGTTCGTATTTAATTTGCTTCTGTCCGCCAATTAAATCAAATCTTGTCACCTGACAAACAAAATTATAGAGCAAATTATTTGAGTGGCCATTAAAGTTTTAGAATCGTTTGAGTTTTGGTCAGCAAATTATTAAAAATTTGATTTTGATCACTGAATTATCTAAAGTTTAGGTTTCGAGTCATTCCGTTAGATCCGATCGTTAACCATGCCAGATCTGAACGTCCGCACGATTCATGAGACAAAAGATAAAGGTATAGTTAACGATTCCGAAATCCAAACTTTAAATTGTTCAATAATGAAAATTCGACGATTCCAAAAGTTCAGTGGCCATCCGCTCAAAATTATAAGATGCACAGCAACAGCAAGAGTCCTGTGCGTGCTGCTCTAAATCTGTTTGGATTGTAAATTATTTGAGATATTTTTACTGTAACACTTTTTGTGATGTAATATATGTGAGATAAAAAGGTAATTTGAAAGATAAAAAAATGTGTTAAAAATTGTAATGATGATGTGTTAAGCAAATAAATTTTAACAAACAATCCTCTGTCCAAACAAATTGTGGTGCGAGAATGAAAAGGAAATATGAGGTGGGAATTATTAGTAAGATAAAGACTTGTGTGTATTGTACTAGTAGTTGGGGCCATTGGGATTTTGGGTTGAT